AGCTCCAGAACCTCCAGCAGCTCCAGAAGCTCCAGTCCCAGAGTCGTCACCTCCAGTCCCAGGGTCTCCAGCCCCTGTGTCTCCAGCAGTAGCACCCCCAGAACCAGCACCCCCAGTCCCAGGGTCTCCAGCCTCAGTGTCACCAGCAGCAGCACCCCCAGAGCCAGCACCTCCAGTCCCAGGGTCTCCAGCCTCAGTGTCTCCAGTACGAGTACCTCCAGAACCAGCGACTCCAGCACCTCCAGTAGACAAAGGTCCAGCACCACTCCTAGCTCCAGCAGCGCGACGCTGACGGTGACCGTACCAGTCCTGCAGCTGCTGTGGGGTGAGAGGCACACGTGGACGAAGGCGGCTACTCCAAGGAGACCGCACAACAGCAGACTCAGAACCCTCAGCGCCAGCACCCCCAGCTGCTCCAGAACCTCCAGCGCCAGCACCCCCAGGCTCCTCACGCGTAGGCTCAGTACCCGCAGACTCGGCACCCGCAAGCTCAGCACCTCCAGGCTCCTCACGCGCAGGCACAGCACCCTCAGACTCGACACCCCCAAGCTCAGCACCGCCAGGCTCCTCACGCGCAGGCACGGCATCCCCAGACTCCGCACCCCCAGGCTCAGCACCTCTAGGCGCCTCTCGCTCAGGCTCCGCACCCCCAGGCTCAGCACCCCCAGAGACAGCACCCCGAGCAGGACCACCTCCAGCAGGACCTGAGTCACCAATGACCTCAACAGGCGCAGGTACCGGAGGGTCTACCTGAGAAACACCTGAAGGAGCAGGACCTGGCGCGGGGAGGGGGTCTACCTGGGGAGGACCTGGAGCGAGAAAGAGCGGCGGGGGGGGGGCGAGAGACAGTGCGGTAGGGAAAGAGACGGTAGAAGGGAACAGACTCGTCAAAGGTGACGTCCTGAGACGCAAAGACACGGCGCGAGGTGGGGTCGTAAAACTGCCAGCCAGGCGCGTCAGGAGGAAAACCAAGGAAGACGCAGGGAATGGCGCGAGCAGAGAGCTTGTCCGCGGTGAGATCGCGGACAAAGGCACGAGCACCCCAGACCCGGAAACGCGACGCATCGCCAACCTCCCCCGTCCACAGCAGTGTGGGCGAGGTCTCCGGCAAGGAGACACGGGGCCAGAGGTTGAGCTGATGCGCGGCGTACCGGACCGCGAACGGCCACAGAAAATGGGGAGCCGCCGCATGGATCATGGAGGTACGAGCGACCTCCATGACTAAGCCAATGCGGCGCTCAGCAACCCCATTCTTCTGCGGAGAGGCCGGAAGCGTGAACGACTGGGTGATGCCGTGCTCCGCACAGAAGGCTGCCAAGAGGTCAGAGGAGAACTCACCACCTCTGTCAGAGTGCAGACGCAGGACAGGAAAGTCCCGCTCGAACCGCTCGCGGAGCTGGAGACGCACAGCGCGGATCCAGGGGATCAAAACAGCAGGGACGTCTCCCTTGCTGCGCAAGGGGAAGACCGTGGTGTAACGCGTGAAGTCGTCGACAACCAGCAGAAAGTACCGCTCACGGCCCTGTCCCTGGACGCGGGCTGGGCCCCACACGTCCAGGTGAAGCGTCTGCAGGGGAGCCTCTGTGGGAGGAAACGAGGAGGAGTGAGGAGCGGCGCGCTGCCGCCCCTCGACGCAGGGAATGCAGGGCGGCGCAGGCGAGGGAGGTAGGGCAGGCAGAGACCTGGGAAGCCCAGAGACCAGAGAGCGAGAGTGCATGCTACGAAGGCGAGGCAGGGAGGGGTGACCAAGGCGGTGGTGCCACAGGAGCGTGTCGTGCGACAGGCGGCGGCACTCACACTGGGTAGCTACCTGAGCAGACGCGTACAGCTGCGGAGACAAAGGAGCGGAGCGTGAAACAGTGGTGAGGGTGTACAGACTGGACCCCGGCTCACGAGTGAACGTGGCCAGGTGGCGGCCAGTCTTGGAGCACGTGCAGATCGCCACACGCTGCCCTCCAGGAGTCCAGGTGTCAACCCAGTGATCCTGGAGGACGGCGTTGCTCACCAGGTTCGTAGAGAACGAGGGAACGAGGAGACCTGACAGCTCACCAGACGGGACCGCCGGGCACGGGAGCACAGTCGTGCCGCGTGCAAGCACTGGGCCCCCAGAGGGGTCAGCCAGGGAGACAGGGACAGGTGCAGGGAGCGGAGTGACGGTGGTGCTATCGCGAAAGAAACAGCGGGAAGCACCAGAGTCAAGTGTAAACGTGTGCAAGGCCTGAGCCGACTCAGTACCAAGGGGAGCAGACTCACTAGCACCTAGGGCTGCAGTCCTTATACCGGGGTCAGGCGGCACACACAAGTAGCAGTCACCCTCAGCACTAACAGTCAATGCATACATGGCAGCAAGAATAACATCATAGTCCAGATCAAAGATAGGCACATCACGCCTAAGCAGCTCTGCCCAGTTGGGGAACTCAGTAGCATCAGGATACTTAGTACGCCAGGCGTCACTAAGCCTAGCAAAACAACGATACTCAGTGTGAAAACCGTTGCAGGGGCGACCCTTGCGGGGGCCAGTACGAATGACATAGGGGCAGCGGTCAGAACCCCGAGACGCCCCACGCCCAGCATACCAGTCATTGAGCTGCTGGGAGGTGAGGGGAGGAAGCTGCTGCTGCTGCTGTGGCTGTTGCTGCTGCTGCTGCTGCTGCTGGCCACCCTTCTGGCCAGATCCACCCCCACTCCCACCTCCACCGCCACTGCCGCTGCCTCCTCCCCCACCACCGCCGCCGCCGCCTCCACCGCCCCCGGTCCTGCCGCCACCCCACCCACCGCCTCCACCCCCACGGCCACCCCCACCACCTCCACCACCCCCGCCGCCTCCACCACCGCTCCCTCCACCGCCACCTCCGCCACCCCTGCCACCCTTGCCGCCCCTGCCACCACCACGCTTCCCACCAGGAGCGGAAGCCGCTGCGACCTTCTCCGCACCGAGGAAGTCGACAGCAGTAGCAGCAGAGGCGTAGGAGGGGTCAAGAGGGGAGGGGGAGCACCCCTCAAAGAGGGGAGTGCGGGGAGTGCCACGAGCAGCACCGACAGCGAGGATGTTCTTCTCTGCTGCGACCAGCTGCTGCTCGAAGTCGTCCAGAGTGATAGTTGGAGGATCCTTGGCAAGGAAGTAATCCCTGACAGAGCGAAGAGTGTCAGGGAGGCGGGTGACGAGGATGTAGAGGGTGAAGTACAGCGGGGGGGTGTTCGTGGCGAGGAACTCGTTGGTAAGAGCGGCTCGAAAGCGGGCGTCACTAGCGCGGAGGTGAGTGATAAGGTCGGCAGCAGTGTGAAACGAGGCTAAGTCTGGGAACAGGTAAGGCAGGATGAGACTACCAACGGTGGCTGTGGTCGGGGCGGAATAGCGGGCAACGACAGCATCATACAGCGTCTTAGCAGTCTTAAGCTGGTTGAAATGCGCGCGCTCAGAGATCGGTAGGTGATTGCGAATAACAAGGCGCGCGACAGCATCGCGGAGCTCCCACTGTGCTCGTTCAGGGGCAGGAGCAGTCTCAGCAGGAGTAGGGACAGTGCCGGTCACATAGGCTAGCAGTGACACTCCGTCTGCGACGTCAGTCATAAGATAAAGGCGCAGGTCACTAAGCCAGGTGTCAAACTCGATGGGGCGGCCGTCAGGCTCAAAGGCGAGAACAGTAAGGGTCGCCATGGTTGTAGCGCAGGCAAAAGTAGCAGGCTCAGGCAGCAGGCTCAGGCAGCAGGCTCAGGCAGCAGGCTCAGGCAGCAGGCAAAGACTGCAGGTTCAGGCAGCAGGCTCAGGCAGCAGGCAACTGTAGCAGGTAAGGAAGCACGCAGTTCTGTGACAGGCCGCGCGTAAGGCAGGTAAGCGCACGACTCACGGGCGGCTAAGCGCTCAGGTCGAGGCAGTGGCGCACAGGCAGGGCAGGGCACGCGCTGCTGCGGGCTGCGCGCGGCAGCGGGCTGCGCGCGGCTGCGGGCTGTGCGTGGCAGCTGGCTGTGCGCGGCGACGGGCTGCGTGCGGCTGCGGGCTGCGCGCGGCGACGGGCTGCGTGCGGCTGCGGGCTGCGCGTGGCTACTGGCTGCACGCGGCGGCGGGTCGCGCGTGGCGGCGGGCTGCGCGCGGCGCCGAGCTGCGCGTGACAGCAGCGAGCACGCGGGCGGCTAAGGCAGCGGGGCGCGCTAAAAAAAAATGCACGCGCGCATGCAGCCGAGGCGCGCGCGGGCAGCAGGCAAGGTAGGCACGTAGGTATAGCTGTAGGGAAAGTAACTCATGAGTAGGTGGGCCCCAATCTTAGGTCCTTAGGACCATTGCTCTAGATGCCATGTTGAGATAGCTAGGCAAGGTGAAGTTGACTATCGAGAGAAATTTTACAAGTAACACAACCCTAAGGAATTATCCCCTATAACATCTACCCCACTACAGCCTACCAATATGTATCACACATATATATCATTTGACACTGGTGCCTGCTGTCCGTGCTGGCGCTGGCGTTGGCGTCCGCGACGGCGCCTGGCGCTGACGTTCGCGCTGGCGCCTGAGCGTGTATGGCCAGCGGCGAGGCGACCGGGCCGCGGGCGACGGGGTCGTGCGCGGGGCGGGGCGAGCGACGGCGCGTCGGGCAGGGCGCAATGAGTTGGGCACTACGAGCGCGACGAGCAAGGCGTAATGGGAGCGAACGGGAAGACAAAACGGGCACGGAGCGACGGATCTCGCCATTGCGCAGCTCGCCACCGTGTCGATCAGCAGCGACTCGAGGCGCCGCCATAACGAGCATAAAACTAGGCCTAGGAACGGCCTGCTCTGATTACCATGTTAGAATAGTAGCCTTAGGGTTTGGGGTAGCGTGAGCGAGAGAAACAGGAAGGAGCGGTTCACTACAGCAAGGTTACAAGATATAGCAAAGAAAGGTGAGCACATTGGTGCACCACCACTGTAGCTACACTAGAACACACAGCAAGCAGGGTATATAACAAAACTTAACAGGTGTGCTTATCAAACAGCTCCTCTTTGAATGGCTTGCATTGCAGCACTAATTAAAGAACCTGCAGCAACAGTGAGGATGGCAAACGTGCAAAACTAGTCTCAGTACACTCAAGTGGGGTTCCCACAAGGAAAATGGCAAGTCAGCAAGAAAGGCACAATGGACACGCACAAGCAGTAGAAATATGTGCAAAATGGGGCAAGAGATGTGGAGGTAAACAGGGACAACAACCAACCTGAACCTACCCTGGTTTGATAAGAGCTGTCTTCCTGAGCTTGGCTATGTGGCCTGGCCAAGTTGCGGGTGAGAACGATCATCGGGGCCAAGCGGCCAGCCACAACAATTGTCGAGGCGCTGCAGCTTGTGAGACTGATTCCAAGCTCATTTCCATGCAGCCACAAAGATCAAGGGCACGCCGCGCCAGCTGAGCTGCAGAGCGCCCGTCTCACCATGCACTTCCAGCCGAAACCTCTTGTCCCTGCACTCTGTGATCGCCTTCCCAGCAGCCACTGTATCCGGCCCTAAAGGTACGGGTTCAAGCCCCACCGCTTTCATCCGATGCACCCATTTATCCAGCCGCTCCGAGCGAAGCCATCTGTCCATGCCCTCGCATGCCACCTCGTTGATAAAGTCCCGCGCCAGGATGGTTTCCGCGACGAGGCGCGGCAAGGCGGCGTGCGGCATGGAAGCATCAAAGGACTCGATGAGCGCGGCAAAGTTGGCGAAGGCGGCGTGGAAGCGCGAGAGGAAGAAGGGCCCGTTGGCATCGAGATCTATGTCTACTTGCAGGAGGAGCAGCGGGCGGAGGTCCCGAATCCACTTGAGAATGGCATTGCGGGGGTTGGAGCGAAGCACTGTGTCGTCTGGGAAGACCATGAGGCCCCAATTGGCCAGCACCACTACCTCCTCGCCTTCATCCACCTCCACTTGCGACGGGTGGAAGTCGTGTGGGGTGGTTTCCATACCGTGAAACGATAGGGAGAGGCCCATCATAGATGCCACCTGCTCCAGGTACTGTCCCCCCAGATGCACCAGGCCCGTTGGATATTCCTCCAGACTGACGAATCCAAAATCAACGGCTGTGATTTTCACGTGGGCCGTGGGGCGCGAGGGGGTAGTAGCGTGTGAAAGAGGTGGGGAGGGGGTTGTCGGGTGTGTGCTACCACTGCTGCCGCTGCTGGTAAAGCTATTGCTGTGTGGCACAGGTGCATCTGCGGCCGCACCTCCCCCAGTTGAACCTGCTCCGAGCGCCCCTGCTGTGCCCTGAACACTGCTCACACCCCCACCAGTTCCATTTGGCACTGCCCCTGCTCCCGCACCTGGCATGCCACTTGGCGGATGCCCATTGGCTGTGGCAGCGGTGGCAGTGGTGGCGGGGAGGAGAGGGGGGGAGGAGAACTGGGCAGCGAGGCCCATGAAGATCTCGATCCAGTGCGGTCCGCAGTAGAGTCCAATGGCTATTATGTGCAGCCGCCGCCGCCGCACAGACTGGCCGGCAGAGGCAGAGGCAGAGGCAGGGAAGGAGGCTGGCAGGGGGAGGTGAGTATGGGGGTGTGGACTATGTGGGTGTGTGTGTGCGCGTGATTGGTGGGTGAATGCACGGACTGTTTCGTGCACGGCTGCAATGTTGGCGAGGTGCATGAATGCCGGCACTCCGTTTTCGCCGTGACCCAACACTGCCATCGAATCCTGCTCACACGGGACACGTGGCATGCATAGGATGCATGACATAAATGGAATGCGTGGCATAAACGGAATGGATGGTATGAGTGGGATGGATGGGACACCTAGCATGCACGAAACACTGTAAATCAGCACATACAGTGCCTGACAGGAAAGGGGACGTGCCAAAAGAAACGAAAACGAAGTACATGGTGTGCACGTGCGCGCGTGTGTGTAAACCCGCATCCAGAAACATATACACAGAGAGATGTCTAACAACGTTCGCTGGGGTGGGGAACCAGGAATGGTAAAACGGAGGAGGGAGGAAAAGGGAGAGGTGGAGAGGTGGGCAGGTGAAGAGGTGGGGATTTGGGGAAAAAGGAGAGGGGCCAAGGGGGAAAGGGAGGAAAGGGGGGAGGGAGGTAGGTGGGGATGGGGGAAGGTGAGGAGTCAGGAGGGTAAGCACCTGAAGGGTGATTTTCAAGGGGGAGCGCCATCGAGTGATTGCGGTGCCATCCATGCGCGCCTCTAACGCTCCCAAGGCGTGGAAGGCAATGCGCTGCAGCGTGTCCCCCCCCGCTGCCGCCTCCCTCCGCACCTGCCGCATGAACTGCCGCCACCGCACCTGGTGGGGTACGGGGGGGGGGGTGGGGGGGTGGGCAGGGGAGGGAGGGGGGAGGGGCCGAGAGGGAGAAGGATGGAACAGGGAGAAAGCGGGGGAACGGGAGAGGAGTGTGAATCAGCTGAAGGATGCATCAGCAGGAGCCAACAAACACAAGCTCTGGCTGGTTTTCCTCGGCCATTCATCCCACCCCCCACTCCACACAAGCGGCACGCAGAGAGACCCATCAACAGCCATGGCTTTGGCATGACAGTTACTTCACCATACAAACATCCCTCCACCCCCCATCCGTCCATCCCTCCAAACCCCCATCTCTCCACACACCGAATCATCGACAAGGCATCCCACTCGACAAGTATCCCCCCATCCCTAACAGCCCCACGCACCGAGTCATCAACGGCCATGGCTTCAGCGAGAGCCATGAGCTGCTGCTTCAGCATGCCCTCCCTCGCGCCACACATGGGCCGTGGCAGCATGCCCGACACATCCACTCGCAGGGGCCTCTCGGGGCCAAATGCAGGAATGTTTGTTGCGGCAACGAACGTCCTGCTTGCTGCGCAAAGATCATCTTCATCGTCTGAAGCGCTGTGTGCCGCAGTGACGCGAATTTTGCGAACTGCAGTCTTGTCCGAAACGGCTGCTGGCCACTGCCCTCGCTGGTTATATCCGTTGCTGGTGCGAACAGCAGAGGGGAACAGTTTTGAGCCCATGAAAGCCTCCGTGTCTCCCCGACTGCGTCCAACCACGAACCTGCTCTCAGGCGCCTTTAGAGAAGACACTGTACAAGCTACTGCTACCGCTAACGCTGCTGCTGCTACTGCAGATGCTGCTGGTGGTGCTGCTGCTGGTGCTGCTGCTGCCGGTGCTGTTGGAATCGCTGCTGCTGTGGAAGAACCTGGCACGGGAAACGACTGAGCTGCAGAGATAGACGCAGTGGCAGCGGGAGCTGCGGGCGTGGCAGCAGAAGGAAGGCCCGGCTTGGACAAGCAGGGAACGAGTTGCCAGGGGGAGGGCGCAGGGCGCGACGGGTTGATGTTCTGCAGCACTGCGGCGAGACGGGACGAGAGGTCTGGGGGGCGCCGAGGCAGCTTGGACGGAGGCGGAGCGGAGTTAGGGTCGACGGGAGGCCCTCTAATCGCGCCCACTCCTATGTCACCGCCACGATAGGGTGAGGGGCGTTGATCTGGGGAGGAGCGCTGAGGGGGTGAGGGACGGGCATGGATGGCGGAGGAGAGAGGCCGTGTGCTGGCGGGTATGCTCGGGTGAAGGGCTTCCTGCTGCTGCTGCTGCTGCTGCTGTTGCTGATCCTGATATTGCCCTTGCTGCTGCGTCTGCTGCTGCGGCGTTAGCAGCTGATTCGGCGCTTCCTCCTGCTCTGGCAACAGCAGCTGCGCCCTCTGTGCTTGCTCACGCTGCACCTGCTCCCAGCGGCCCCTCGCGCTCTGAAAAGTCGCTGGCGCTACCGCCGCGAACAGCCCCTCCGAAGCTTCCTCGAAGGTCAGAACCTGAGAAGCGGAACCGTCAGGCTGCAATGCGCGCAGAACGGATGCTGACGTGGCAGGGAAAACTTGCTCTGATCCCCTCTCCGCATCCCGAGATGGATCACGAAGCCACGTGGACGGAGCATCCAGCTCGGACAGGAACGTGTCTAAATTGCTGGCTGCAGAATTGCTGCCTCCGGAATTGCTGCCTGTAACAACGTTTCCCGCATCCGGGATATACCACGTCCCCGGATGTAAGCATTCAACCCTTTCTGCTCGGCCGTCCTCGCGCGTGGCAGAGTCATGGCTATGGGAATGGTTCACGCCACTGGAGTCCCACGCATCTATAAAATCCGCGACACTGGTTATAATCGCATCTGCTTTACCGGATCCATCCGTGCCCGCCTCGCGTGTGTCTGATTGTCCCACGGGATCTCCGCCGTCCAAATCAAGTAAAATCCGGCTGTCAATTTGCACTCCAGGTAAACCATTCAATCGTGATTCTGAATCAACTTCCGCTTTATTAGAGGAAGCATCGCGTTGAGAAACATGGTCTGTGTTAAAGTCTTCTATACACGCATGGCCTACAGGAACATCGTCGCCTATCAGGAAAGAGAGTGACGGATCTAAGGGCGTAAACGGTAACTCCGGAAAAAAATGCGTCTGCAAGAGAGGGTAGTCGGTGGAAGGCGGTGAATGAGGCAGAACGGCTTCGTCGAACGACAGCCAGTGCTCAACGTCCGCTGGCGCCAGGTCATCAGCGACGAAGACTGTGACCGGCTCGCCGCTCATGACTGCGTGACAGAAACTATAGCAGTAATCGGATCTTGGAATTTAAGAAGAGCAGGTAGTATCCCATCATCGTGCAGGCGAGATGGTCGCCGAAAGAACCAAGCTATGTCTACCCTACATGATCGGTCATGGGGTGAGGGAGTGGCAAGAACAAGTTGGTGGTGGAGCGGAAAGTGGCTTTTCCCGAGGTGCTATTCCCGACCCGAGGTGACAACTCCCGAGGTGTGAATTCCCGAGGTGAGATTTGTCGATGTTCCGCGATGAGAATCCCCGATGTGTGAACTTCTCGTAAAGAATTATTCCTTCGGCACGTGCATTTCTAGAACCAGCTAATGCTGTTTACGATAATCCATACTTCGCCAAGTGTTAGGAAAAACCAATTTCTTTGCAACTTCCACTGCACCAGGCGTTCGCATTAAGAACAAACGCCTGTCCATTTGACGTTGTTGGGACGACATCGAGTGCTGGTTCATTGGTCAGCGGCGCCTTTCCAAGGCATAATTGAAGGATGGGTTGCGGCTTGCTGGTCTTATCATTCTCCGTCATGGGACGGCTTACTGAACAGAATACAGAACCTGCAGCAACAGGAGGCAAGAAAGACAGGAACAAGCAAATTCATAACGTTAAGCACAAGGAGCATATGTGAAACAGAGCAAGACAGTTGAAATGCAGGGGGGGGGTATCAACAGGCCTGAGCCTACCCTGGTTTGATAAGACCTGTTTTGTCTTCCAAAGCCTGGCTACACTGCCCTTGCCCTTGCCATTCCCCTTGCCTTGCCATTGCGGATCAGAGCAATCTTAGAATCGATCACAGATTCATCTCCAGGCGGCCGCAACGATCATCGGAGCGTTGCAGCTTATGAGACCAAGGCGGTCTGCGATTCAGACCGACTCCAACCTCATTTCCAAGCGGCCACGAAGATCAAGGGAACACCGCGCCAGCTAAGCTGCAGAGCGCCCGTCTCACCATGCACTTCCAGCCGAAATCTCTTGTCCCTGCCCTCCGTGATCTCCCTCCCAGCAGCCAATGTATCGGGCCCTAAAGGTACCGGCTCCAGCCCCACCGCTCTCATTCGATGCACCCACATGCCGAGCCGCTCCGCCCGCAGCCATCTGTTCATGCCCTCGCATGCCACCTCATTTACAAAGTCCCGCGCCAGGATGGTTTCGGCCACAAAGCGGGGGGTCGCGGCGTGTGGCAAGGAACAGTCAAAGGACTCCAGGAGTGCGGCAAAGTTCATGAATGCAGCATGGAAGCGCGAGAGGAAGAAGGGCCCGTTGGCATCCAAATCAATGTCAAACTGGAGTACAAGGAGCGGGCGCAGGTCGCGAATCCACTTGAGAATGGAGTTGCGGGGGTTGGAGCGAAGAACTGTGTCGTCTGGGAAAATCATGAGGCTCCAATTGGCCAGCACCACTACCTCCTCGCCTTCATCCACCTCCACTTGTGACGGGTGGAAGTCCTGAGGCGTGGTCTCAATGCCGTGAAAGGTGAGAGACAGGCCAAGCATAGATGCCACCTGCTCCAGGTACTGCCCGCTCAGATGCACCAGGCCCGTTGGATACTCCTCCACACTGACGATTCCGAAATCAATGGCTGTGATTCTCACGTGGGCTGTGGAGTGGGGTGGGGGAGCAGAGATGGTAGGGGATGGGCTGTGTGTCGCGTGTGAAGGCGGTGTGGGAGGATTTGATGCGTGGGGTACGGGGTGAGTGCTCCCACTGTTGCCGCTCATGCTGCCGCTGCTGGTAAAGCCATTTCTGCCTGCCACAGGTGTATCTGCTGCTGCACCTCCCCAGGATAAACCTGCCCCGAACGCCCCTGCAGTGCCCTGAACACTGCTCACGCCCCCACCAGCTGCATTTGGTACCGCCCCCGCTCCTCCAGACGGGATGCCACTGGCGGTGGCAGCGGTGGCGGGGAGGAGAGTGGGGGAGGAGAAATGAACGGCGAGGCGCATGAGAATGTTGATCCAGTGCGGCCCGCAGTAGAGTCCAAAGGCTATTATGTGCAGCCGCCGCCGCCGCACTGACTGGCCGGCAGTGGCAGAGGCAGGGAAAGAGGCCGGTTCGTGTGTGTGTGCATGTTGGTGTGGGTGTGCATGTGTTTGGTGGGTGAACGCGCGGACTATTTCGTGCACTTCTGCGATGTTGGCGAGGCGCATGAATGCCGGCACTCCATGCTCGTTGCCGTGGCCCAACACTGCCATCGATTCCTGCATGGGTCACACTCATGGTATACATGGGGCGGATGGCATGCATGGGGCACATGGCGTGCATGGGGCACATGGCATGCATGAAGCACATGGCATGCATGGGGCACATGGCATGCATGAAGCACATGGCAAGCACGAAAAACTGCAAGCTTAGCAAGTACAGTGGTTGGCTAGAAGGGGACGTGCTCAAAGAAAAAACACTGATCACATCCCTCCACCCCACCCACATCGGGGTGCCTAACTACGCTGGCCAGGGGAGGGAGGCGAGGGGTGGGAGGTGGGGGCAAAAGGAGGATGATGGAAAAGAGGGGGAGGCGGAAAGGGGGAAAGGAAGGAAGGCATGGAGGGGCGAAGGTAAGCACCTGGAGGGTGATTTTCACTGGAGTGCGCCAGCGGGTGAGCGCGGTGCCATCCATGCGCGCCTCTAGTGCCTCCAGAGCATGGAAGGCGATGCGCTGCAGCGTGTCCCCCCCCGCTGCCGCCTCCCTCCGCACCTGCCGCATGACCTGCCGCCACCGTACCTGGTGGGGTAGGGGGTGGGGACCAGGGGAGGCAGATGGGAGTGGGGGAGCAGGAGAAGGAAGGAACGGGGAGAAAAGCGGGAGAAGGGAAGAGGTGCGTATGCCAAAGAACACAAACCATGCCTGGTTCTCGACTATTCATCCCACCCCCCACCTGACTCATGCCCCACGCACCGAGTCATCAACGGCCATGGCTTCAGCGAGAGCCATGAGCTGCTGCTTCAGCATGCCCTCCCTCGCGCCACACATGGGCCGTGGCAGCATGCCCGACTCATCCACTCGCAGGGGCCTCTCGGGGCCGAATGCAGGAATAACGAACGCCCTGCTTGTTGCGCTAGCCTCTTCACCGTCTGGAGCAGAGCTCAGTGGGTCGCTGTGTGCCGCACAGACGCGAATTTTTCGAAGTGCAGTCTTGTCTGAAAAGGCTGCTGGCCACTGCCCTCGCTGGTCATATCCATAAGCAGCAGGGTCGCTGGCACGAGCAGCAGAGGAGGGCAGTGTTGAGCCCATGAATCCACTCGCGTCTCCCCCAATGCCTCCAACCACGAGCCTGCTCTCAGGTACTCGTAAACAAGACACTGCGCAAGCTACTGCTACCGCTACTGCTGCTGCCGCCACTGCAGATGCTGCTGCTGGTGGAATTGCTGGAGCTGCTGCTGCTGTGGACGATCCTGGCACTGGGAACGACTGAGCTACAGTGGTAGACACAGTGGCAGTGGGAGCTGCAGGAGTGGCAGCAGAAGGAAGGCCTGGCTTGGGCAAGCAGGGGAGGGGTTGCCAGGGGGAGGGTGCAGAGCGCGACGGGTTGATGTTTTGCAGCACGGCGGCGAGGCGGGAGGAGAGGTCCGGGGGGCGCCGAGGCAGCTTGGACGGGGGCGGAGCGGAGGGAGGGTCGGCGGAAGGCCCTCTGAGAACACCCACCCCTATGCCACCGCCAAAGGAGGGTGAGAGGCGTTGGGCGGGGGAGGAGCGCAGAGGGGGAGAGGGACGGGCATGGACGGCGGAGGGATTGCTAGCAGGTGCGTGATCCTGCCTTTGCTGCTGCGGCTGCTGCTGCGACTGCTGCAGCGGCGTCAGCAACTGATTCTGTGGTTCCTCCTGCCCTGGCGACAGCAGCTGCGGCCTCTGTACTTGCTCAAGCTGCACCTGCTCCCAGCGACCCCTCGCGTTCTGAAAAGTGGCTGGCGCTGTCGCGGCGAAAAGTCTCTCCGAAGCTTCTTCGAAGGTCAGCACCTGCGGATTGGAACCATCAGTCTGCAATGCGGCAATAACGGATGCTGACGTGGCGCGAAAACCTTGTTCTGGTTCCCCCTCCGCATCCCGAGGTGGATCAGGAAGCCACGTGGACGAACCAGCCTGCTCTGGCAGACACGTGCCTAAATTGCTGGCTGCAATATTGCTGTCCGCAAGAACGTTTCCCGCGTCCGCGACATACCACGTCCCCTGTTGTAACAATTCAACCGCTTCTATTGGGTCGTCCTCGGGCGTGGCAGGGCAACGGCCATGGTTCACGCCGATTGAGTCCCGCGTATCGACGAATAGATCATCCAATCGCAGTTCTGGACTAACTTCGCCCTGGTTAGCGGGAGCATCGTGTGTAGGAACATAATCTTCGTTACTGTTTTCTACGCACGCATCAACTACAGGAGCATGGTCGTCTGTCAGGAAAGCGAGTGACGGATCCAAGGGAATAAACGGTAGCTCTGGGAGAAGTTGCGCCGGCGAATGAGGGTCGCTGGTGGAAGGCGGAGGATCAGGCAGAACGGCTTCGTCGAACGACAGCCAGTGCTCAACGTCGGCTGGCGCCAGGTCATCAGCAACGAAGACTGTGACCGGCTCGCCGCTCATGTCTACGCGACAGAAACTATAGCAGCTTAGAAGTTAAAAGCGGGTTACATGCCATAGTCGTGCGTAAAGATTACGGTAAGAACAACTGGCAATCTCAAGGTGTGAATTCACGAGGTGTTAGGCTGAAATACAGAGGTCTACATACCAGATTGCTGAATTTGCGAATTGGAACCTACCGTACATCTTTCTAGGATAGGGATATTCTTGGGATGTTGATTACAACAGATGTTATCAGAATAGAGACTTATGCGTTTCTCTCAAGGAGCATACCATGGTAACCTAACCTCAACGTGATCACTCCATCTGCTCTATTAAGTATCAAAATCTACCAAGCCTAGTGATTCAGTACTGTAAACCTAACACACCTAGCTACAATATCCACTTTCAGTTTACCACCAAACAAGATTTGCCTCCCACCCTTCACTAGACACCAAGTGCCACTGGCACTGACCACCACCACTGCACATGCCATGCCATGGCATGCCATCCCATCCACATCACCTCCATTGTTCCAGCCACTCCCGCCACTCTCCACCACCCCCATCACTGAGGAGAGGCAGTGAGTGAGGCGAGCGGAAGGCAGTCGAGGGGAGGGTTTAAGTGAGGCCCACTGAGTGGGGCGACAGCAAAACAGGAAAGGAGGCTGAGCAAGGAGGTCGAGAGGCAGAGGAGAGGGTTGAAACACCCAGGTCAAAGCGGGCAAAAGGCAGAGGAGGGGGATTCCCCTGCCCCTTGCTCGCTTCAACCTGGCGGTTTCAACCCCCTTCCCCCCCCCTGCGCCTCAACAGCCTTACTCTGAGGGACTCAGCCCCCTTCCCTGCCATGCTGCCACCTCCCTCAGGGGACTTCACCTCCACCCTCTCCCACCGCTCTCCCTCTCTCTCTGTGCGTGCGAGCAGGAGTGGGCGTGGGGAGCAAGGGCAAGGCGTGAGGCCCGCACCGACGTGGCTAGAGGGGATTCCAGCCCAGACCCCCGGCCGCAGGGTCTGAGGAGGTTCCATTAAGCCTTGAACGTGCGGCTATTGGGACAACCCGCCGCCGCCGCCGCCGCCGCCGCCGCCGCCGCCGCCGCCGCCGCCGCCGCCACCACCACCACCACCACCACCACCAACGCCACCACCAACAGTTGCCCCTGGCTGCCTGGCATAGATGGGCCCTGCAGAGCAAGGAGGAACAGGAGGAGAGAACGGAAGGGTATTAGTAGAGCAAACGAGGGTAGGAAACAAGCAGAGGTGAAGGCAAGCGAAGCAAGAAAAGCAGATGCGGATGCATGGGAGGCAGAGTGAGACGCTTAAGCTTACCTTGCAGAGCAGCCAGGAGCAGCACCACTCAGCAGCAGAAGCAGCAGCAGCAGTAGCAGCACCACCGCCAGTAGCACAACCACCAGCAGCACCAGCACCAGCACCAGCAGCAGCACCAGCAGCAGCAGCATCAGCACCAGAAGCACCAACAGCAGCAGCAGCATCAGCAGCAGCAGGTGCCCCTGCCTGCCCGGCCAAGGTAGGACCTGGAGACTGGGGAGGAGGAGGAGCAAGGGGGGGAAGGGCATTAGTAGAGCAAAGGAGGGTAGGAGACGAGCAGATGTGAAGGCAAAGGCAGGCGAAGCATGGAAAACGGTTGCGGGCGCATGGGAGGCAGAGTACGGCGGTTGGGCTTACCTTGCAGCGCAGCCAGGAGCAGCACCACCACCCTTGACTGCCCCCTCCGCCCTTGACTGCCCCCCCCGCCCTGACCGCCCCCCCCGCCCTTGACTGCCCCCCCCGCCCTGACTGCCCCCCCCGCCCTGACTGCCCCCCCCGCCCTGACTGCCCCCCCCGCCCTGACTGCCCCCCCCGCCCTTGACTGCCCCCCCCGCCCTGACTGCCCCCCCCGCCCTGACTGCCCCCCCCGCCCTGACTGCCCCCACCACAGCCGCAGCCACAGCAGCCGCCTGCAAGGGAGGCATGGCACCTGCAGGGTTCAAGGGGAAAGGGGGGTGGATGGGAGGGGAAAGGGTGCGAGGGGAGGGAGTGAGTGGATGGAGCGTGGGATTGAGAGGGGGCGAGGAAGCAAGGAAGGCGAGTAAGCATGCATGCATGAGGGCATGAGGGCACCTGCTGTAGCACACCAAAGGGAATACCTTGGCTATAAAAAAAAACCTGCACCTGCAGTGGGGGGATACCTGCACCTTAGCCTGTTACCTGAGAAGGGAGCCCTTGAGTGTGCTACATGCACGTGCCGTGATGTGCCATGCCATGTGACATGCCATGCCACACCACACCACACGAGTGAGAAAACTGCAAGAGCTGCGTGGATCAGGGCGCGGCGTGGTACTTATCTTCTTGCCGCTGCTTGCAGGAGTGCCAAAGAAAGCATCCAGGAACCCTCCCCGCCTTG